CACCTGGCAGGCAGACCTCTCCTGTCTCACCCATTGCTCCCCTGAGCAGTGTATTTCAGTAGATCTGCCTGTTCTGCTCCCTACTCTGTTTCTGGTGAATCCTCTCACCCCCTGCACCTCTGGCCTGCACCCAAGTTCTTGTACGCATAAATAAAAATAAATCTTTAAAAAAAAAAAAAGAAATCAACATCAATACTCAGGACAGTATGTGCTTATGTGCTTTACAACTGGAGTGACCATATGCCCTGCTTTGTCCAGAATAGTCCTAATTTAGTTATTCCCACATCCCACCCAGTTTAACATGTCTCATAGTGTTCATATTTTAACATATTTGAACATAACAGCATTAAAGTAAGACAGGATGGATTTGTTAGAGTTTCATTTTGTATTTCCACCTTCTGCCATGGCATTTGTCTGGTAGTGTGTAGAGCAAGTGCAATGAACATGTCTCACTTTAATTTCTCTTTCAATTTTAAAGCCAACCACTGATAACCCATCTCTTTCCTAATGAAATGAAGTACAGCTGGTCAATGGCAACTAAGGGTAGTCAAATCTATCATCCTGGGTACTGATAGGAGAAATGTTAGAAGCTGCTAGCCATCACAGACACTTAGTATACCTGCCAGTTGTGCCACAGCCATTCTCAACTTGCTAGATATGCAAAACCTCCAGGCATAATAAGCTGGGACAGTGGGAAATAAAAGCTATTTGTAAGATATGCAGGAAGAGACACTATGTGTTCTGTTCATAATGTATAATTTGAACTCTTGCTACAGAAGTTTTGCCACCATTATTATACTGTATAAATTCACCATTATTTTTCACCATTTTATTTTATAATACTTATTATAATTTTAAATTATTTTTAGCTCCACCTTTTATGCTCAAGTGTCCTGGCTTATACAAAGAGGATATACAGTCACACGACTATAACCAAGTGTCTTATTCCCTATCATATTATAATGAACTACATATTAAAGAGTATCTAGATGTAACTACAAAAAGCATCTCTTAGGATCTTCATGGCAAAGGTCTACAAAGAAAATCAACCTGTGTCACACTATTACTACAGTAAAGTGATTTTTTGGAAACACTATGATTCTTGAGCATATACAGAAATGTCTCTATACATGATAAGTATGGACCTAAGAATATACTACACAACCCAGAACTATATGCTATACAAATATTTAAGTCTATTGCTTTTTTGTTGATTCACAAAGTGCTTGAGAATATGTATCAACCCCAAGGACTTCATTCATTTTAAGCATTACAGAGTTTGTGTTCTCAGGAAACATGAACACAATTTACATATGATTAACAGAGGAAAATTTTCTTTGTGGATAGCAAGTAACTATTCATTACTTTAAACAGTATCCTTTATAAAATAATTCATTAAATTGCCCTTTTCAAAAGTATCAAAAGCATTTGAACACAAGTACAGAACAAGTCTATGTTTTTAAAAAATCCTTAAAAGACAATTATTTTCCTTAAGTGATAAGTTGGCCCATGTAAAGGCAAGGTCATCTGAGGTTCCTGGAAGAATTTCAAAACCTTCCATTCCTGGAACAAAATAAAAACCATCCCTTTAGTGTATAACAGTTCTTCCATTCTAGATTAACATCTTCACAGATGAACAAAATTTGAAACAACAAAATATTCATCTCTGACTTTTAAAATAAATGTACTATGGGGTTATCAGAACAGTTATTTAATTCTCAACACAAGCAAGATAACAATTTCAGGTTATCTTTCTGCTCAATTCAATCCTGGTGGCACAGGGGTTAAAGTCTCAGCACTCTCAAGCTATCCCCAGCCATGGCAGCCTCAGCTGGATCCTCAGCCAGAGAGCTAACCCACATGGCCAGGGAGCTAACCCATATGGTGTAGAATTCTCCTGTCTTGCCCACTGCTCCCCTCAGCAGTGTATTTCATAGATCACCTGTTCTGCTCTACTCTGTCTCTGGTGAATCCTCTCAACCCCTGCACCTCTGGCCTGCATCCCAGTTCTTGTATGAATGAATGAATTAATTAATGAATAAATAAATAAATAAATAAAACAAAAACCTTAAATTAAAATGTCAAATTAAAAATTTTAACATTAGATGTTATTAAGGATTCCATATAACATACAGTATTTACAAAACACCTCTGTATGCACTAGTCAACATCTTAGTCATATGGTGGGGCAGGTCCCACATCTCTACTCCAACCAGAGTTGGAGGCTGAGATAGGGCCCAAAAGTGGGAAATTTGACAAGCAGTCCAAAAACATTCCTCAGATAATCCAGTCTTAGTTCAACTGAAAAAAGTTACATATAATACTTAATGTATACATATTACTCCTACCCAACACTGAATAGATGTAAAAAGATCTTAAAGCTAACTGCCTTATTGTCTTTCATTTAATAAAATCTTTACTAAACAACATTATATCTCCTCCTTAACTAAAGGAAACAAAATCCCAGCCTTCAATGTTTAACCCTAGCTGTTTTTTTCAGTTTAGGAAACTCGAACACATCAAAGGTTCTTTCCAGCTCTGAAATGATATTTTGTGGGTAAAACTAATGAGAACAGTCCAAATGCTTTCAAATTTTAAGTATTTGCCTAATAACTAAGATGCATATCTTTTTTAGAAAATCCAGGTAAGAATTTGAGCTACTTTTTTCTATATGCTGTAAAATATTGAAAATTAGCAGAATATGTTGAGGTTGCTTGAAAAATGCACATAAAACTAAAATTTTCTAGGTTGTGTGTTTATTTTTTAAACCTATGTTTTAACTTTGTAAGTAAATTCGAAGCCTTTATATTTATATTTTACGAAAATTCTCTTAAAGACAATAAACCTATTAAGGGGGGGAAAAAAAAAAAAAAAAAAAAACCTCAGATGAACCAGAACAGGAATTAAAATCAACTCTTTCCACACGTTATGAACTAAGATTTACACAAAACTGTCAAAGGAATGTACAAAGTAAATCTGGAAACTGTGGTTGTGTTATATTTCACATGGAAAGGTTTCAATGGCCAGGTATGGAAAACAGAAGCCTACTCAGATTTCCAGATGAAGCTCTTAAAAATACCTTATTTCAACTACTTTATTATATCTGCCCCCATAGTTAAATGTCTTTCCTTGAAATGTTTCTTATAATCAATGCCATGTCATGGTTTAATTGTAGGGCTGTTTATTTTTCCTTAGGAGTATAAGAAATAACCCTAGAGTTAATCAAATATGTTATTTTCCTGAACTGCTTCTTTTGAAAATGCTTCCTATTCGACCCACAATTGTTAAAAATTAGGGGGGGGAAAAAAAGGCTTGACTATGCTATAAAACATAAAAGACCTAGAAATGAAAGTTAACCAGCAATTCACCAGAGGCTCAAATACATCAACTGGATTAAGAGTCTCTTTAAAATTCAAATTGAACCAAAAAAAAAAAACAAAAAAAAAAACCCACAAAAAAATACCAACTAGAGAAAACCTGTATTTTAAAGCCTTGACGTTAAATTTGGAAAACCAACTGAACCTAGAATTTTCTGCTGTTACTCGTTTGTGAAAATATCCTGAAATCACTACATACATATTTCAAAGTCCATAATTAGGTTTCAATCCTTCCAACAGCAGTCACTTCCTCTACCAGCACAAAAACGAACCTTTCCTCTGAGAGTTGTAAGGCTCAAAACTAAAGAAAAGACAAATGCTTTGCAAGTTAGTACTGCACAGGAAAGAGCTGTGGTAAGGTTCACATTAGCTTCTGAGGTCAAAGACAAGGGTTTGCTTGTCTTTCCTCACTTTGACAATTCCCTAAAAAGGAGCTCCAGCTCACCTGCGGATGTTTCCTCGGTTTAAAAAGAGAGTATGAACTACTTTGTAATCTTTACTCATTTGTTCAACAAGTACTTTTTGAGTGTCTACTACATGCCAGGCAACAGCTGAGAGAAGACCCACCGAGATGGGACTCTCAGGATCGCCGCTGCACAAACACGCCTACTTCCACCACCAGCGCGCACCTGAAGTTTCCGACGCCGCTCACCTAGGCTGCAACCTACAGCTCCTAAAGCCAGGCCCTACCAGCAACCAGGAGGTGCTCCTGAAGTCACCGCAATGCAAAACTGCGATTTCCCGCCGACTGAAGCGACCCTGGGAGGGTCTGAAAGAACTCCAGGTCGAAGGAAAATGGCACAGAAGAGAAAACCAAGGGGGGATGCGGGCGGCGACACGCGCGCGCCCTCCCCGCGCCGCCCCAGGTGAGCAAGTCTCGGGCTCGGGAACCCGCTCCCCAGGCGGGCGCGGGGCGGCGGGGCGCGGAGAGGGGCCGCGGCCGGGAGGCAGGTCTCCAGCAACTACCGAGTCGAAAGCCGGAGCCAGCGGGCCGGGGGCGGGAGGACACGCTCCTTCCCAGGCAGGATGGTGGGCGCAGCGGGGGAGGCATCGCGCCGCGCGGACAGGAGAGGGGGCGGCGGGGGCGATCGCAGGGGGAGCAAGCCGAAGGCGGTGCGCCCCCGAGCGGGGCCGCCGGGGGACCCCGAGGTAGTCGCGGGGACCGGGGGCGTCTCTGCGGGCGGGAAACCCGGTGGCGGGAAGCGCTAGGCCCGCCCAGCACCGGCGCGCACGAGGCCCGGACCTCGAGTCCCCGAGCGCCACAAAGGCCCCCGATCTCCGCGGGGCCGGGCTGGGGGTGCGCCCGCCGCGCACACGCGCGCACTCGCCCGCACACACGCGCCGACCCTCTCCCCGCGCGCCGCCTCCCCGCGCGGCAGGGCTGGCTCGGCGCCCGCCGCAGGACGCGGGGCTGGGGCGCAGCGGGCTGAGCGCCCGACGCCCGCGCCGCGGGACGAGGACCCGCAGCCGCCGCGGCCACAAAGCGCCCGCCGCCCGGGGAGGGCGACGCGCGCGGGCCCCGCCGGCCCCCCGACCCCCGCCGGCCGCGGGATGCCGACCGCTGGGGGAGGGGGCGGGAGGGCCGCGCGGGCGGCGAGCCCCGGACCCCGCGCCTGGGCTGACCTTGGAATCCCCGTTGCACAGAGCCATCCGGGCCGGGCCCGCGGCGGCCGATGCGGGGCGAGCGGCGGGGCCCGGGCAGCGCGCGCGGGCTGGGGCGCAGGAGGCCTGGTCCGGGAGCCGCCTGCGAAGCGCCAAATCGAGCCGCGGCCGCGGAGCGCGGGCCCCAGCGCCGCGGGAGGGAAGATCTGCGAGGCGCACGCTGCCCCCGCCTCCCGCTTCCGCCCGGGCCAGCCACAGGGAGGAGCCAGAGCCCGCTCCGCTCAGCCGCCGAGCCCAGCCGCGGACTCCCCCGGCTGCCGCGGAACCGGCCACCCTCGGGAGGAGGGGCCTGCGGGCCCGGCCCCGCCCCTGGGCCCGCCCCCGGGCAGGGAAGCCCGCCCCCTCTGGCCCGCCCGCCTACTGGGGCGGGGCTACGCTCCCAGGACCCGCCCCCGCCACCGAGGCCCGCTCCGCCAGGAAGAAACGAGCCCTTGGCCCCGCCTCCGTCAGCCCGCAAGGAGGAGGAGCCGCAGGACGGCCCGGCTCCGCCCCCGACAGGCTCCGCCCCTCCAAGCCACGCCCCCGCACCACGCAGCCTGTGCTTGGAGGCGGGATCCGTGACTCTCCGCCCTCAAACTGCTGCCTGCACCCTGCCTGCCCGCCCGCCCGCCCGCCTGCAGCTCCTGGTGGCTGCGGGAGGCTGACGGCGCCATGGAGGTAGCCTACGAAAAGCTGGGCCCCTGGAGAACTCAGCCCTTGGCTCTACTCCAGGTATTAAGGGGCAGGAGTGACACAACCCTGGCCTCCAAAAACTCTTTGTTATTGTAACCAGTCCCATAAAGTAGTGATGTTCTCCGCTTTCTACAAATGGGGACTGTGAGGTTCAATGAGATAATGTCCCTCTGTGTAGAAGGAAAGAAAAGGCACCTGATCCGGTGAAGGATAGACAGTTAATTGGTAAAATATTTACGTGTACAAAAAGCCCATGGCCCAGATCTCGCTCGCACTTACCTTTTTTTGAGTGGAGATGTGGATGCTTGAACTTTCTAAAGCCATGGAAACTGAGCTCTGTCGGCAGGTGGGGATAAACAAAGCAGAGAACAGAGTAGTAGCCAATAAGAGCGCCTCAAGCTGCAACAACATCCCCCTGAAATGGAATGTGTTGTGCGGACAGTGAGGATTGGCTAAGTCCCATCTCTATTTGATAATGCCTAGTTTAAATACATTCTAGTGGTCATTTGCGTTTATGGCAAAGAATATCAGCATGTACCAGAATCCTTATCTTCATTTATTGTTTTATAACTTTATACTCTATTAACCCCCCGCCCCTTTTTAGATACAGGATTCCCTTACAGTGCACCACAGAGGTGTCTTTTCACCTCTATTAATTGTTCTTGGTCACCTTTTGTTGTCCCTCTTTCTATAGTTATTCTACAATAGGAGGCTCAAATACCAGTTTCTTCAGTATTTCCATTTTTAACTTTCATCTTACTCTTTATCTGTGCTTTCCTGGAGTGCTTGTTTAAAAATAACCATGATAGGGCCTCCCTGGTGGCGCAAGGGTTTAAGACCAAGCACTATAAGGCAATCCACAGCCACTGCAGCATGAGTTTGATCCCCATCCCCGGACAGGGAGGTGCCCCACATGGCGCAGCAGACCTCTCCTGTCTCGGCTGCTGCTCCCTTTAGCAGTGTATTTCAGTAGATCTGCCTGTTCTGTTCCCCACTGTCTCTGGTAAATCCTCTCACTCCTACCCCCCTGCACCTGTGGCCTGCAGGTACCCCAGTTCTTGTATGCATAGTTTTTTTTTAAATAACCATGATAGGTTCTATGCCCTGAACACAAACTCTTCAGAGTTCCAGATCTCTAGCAATAAGTACATCCCCAGTCAGATGTTCAATATGTACATCCCCAGTTGAGTTGGGCCCCAACTCAAGTACAAAACAAAATTTCTCCCAAATTTCTGTGTCCAACCTTACTGGCACAATAGGGGGAAAACAACCTTTAGGATCTTCGGTTTCTCATATATGCCATTTGTCAAATTGATGTTTGTGACTCTTCCTCTTTTCCTGACAGTTTTTATTAGGAAAGGATGTTGCCAAATGTTTTTTCTGTACTGGTGATATTATTCTGTGTTTTTTCTATTTTTTGGTTTGTTAATGTGAATTACATTGATTTTTATTTTAAACATTTTTTTAAAAGATTTATTTATTTGTTTGTTTGTTTATTTATTTATACAAGCACTGGGTACAGTCAGAAGCAAACGAGGGTGAGAGAATTCACCAGAGCCAGAGTGGAGAGCAGAACAGAGTGACAAAGTACACTGCTGAGGGGAGCAGCGGGCGGCAGGAGAGGTCTTCGAACCATGTGGGACCCTCGCCGGTGGCCGGGGATCGAACTGGCACTGCAGAGGCTGCAGGCAGCTTCGCAGCCCAGCGCTCAACCGCTGAGCCACCAGGGGAGGCCCTACATTGATTTTTAAATGTTAAACCAGCCTTGTATTCTGGGGATAAAATTAATCCTAATATATTTTCTTTTTTATATATTGCATTGGATTTGCTAAAAATTTGGTTTCAAATATTTGCAGTCATGTTCATGAGGAATATTGGCTTATAGTTTTCTAGTAATTTCTTGGGCTGCAATCAGTATCAGCATAATGATGACCTCAAAAAAAGAAGTTAAAAGTTTGTATAGAAATATCATTTCTGGAATAGTTGTATAGAATTGGTTTATTTCTTCCTTAAGACCATCTGAGACTGAAGTTTTCTTGGTGATAAGGTTTTTAATTGCAAATTCCATTTTTAAATGTAGATATAGGCCTCCCCGGTGGCGCAGCGGTTGAGCGCTGGGTTGCGAAGCTGCCCGCAGCCTCTGCGGCGCCAGTTCCATCCCCGGCTGCTCCCCGGGCACCGGAGGAGGGTCCCACAGGGTGCGCAGACCTCTCCTGCCGCCCGCTGCTCCCCTCAGCAGTGTACTTCGGTCCTTCTGCCTGCTCTGCACCCCGCTCTGGCTCTGGTGAACTCTCTCACCCTCCCGTGCTTCTGACTGTACCCAGTGCATGTACAAACAAACAAATAAAAAAAAAAAAAAAGGTAGATATAGAGGGCCTCCCGGGTGGCGCAGCGGTTGAGCGCTGGGTTGCGAAGCTGCCAGCAGCCCTTGCAGTTCCGGTTCGATTCCCGGCTGCTCCCCGGCCACAGGAGGAGGGTCCCACATGGCGTGCAGACCTCCCCTGCTGCCCGCTGCTCCCCCCAGCAGTGTACCACGGTCCTTCTGCCTGCTCTGCTCCCCGCTCTGGCTCTGGTGAATTCTCTCACCCTCCCCACGCTTCTGACTGTACCCAGTGCTTGTATAAATAAATAAATAAATAAATAAATAAATAAATAAGTCTTTAAAAAAAAAAAAAGTAGATATAGAACTCTTCAGGTTATATTTTTTTTCTTGAGTAATCTTTGGCTATTTGTGTCTCTTAAGGAATTTGTCTGTTTCATCTGTCAAATTCTATGCATAGAATTGGTCATGATATTCTATTATAATCCTTTTAATATTTAAAACCTATAGTGATGGGGGCCTCCCCCGTGGCGCAGCGGTTGAGCTCTGGGTTGCGAAGCTGCCCACGGCCTCTGCGGCGCCGGTTCAATCCCCGGCTGTTCCCCGGCCACCAGAGGAGGGTTCCACATGGCGCGCAGACCTCTCCTGCCGCCCGCTGCTCCCCTCAGCAGTGCACCTTGGTCCTTCTGCCTGCTCTGCTCCCAGCTCTGGCTCTGGTGAATTCTCTCACCCTCCCGTGCTTCTGACTGTACCCAGTGCTTGTATAAACAAAACAACAAACAAATAAATAAATAAATAACATGCCTCTATTAAAAAAATAATAATAATAAAATAAAACCTGTAGTGATGGACCTCCCTGGTGGTGTAGGGGTTAAGGCTCAGCGCTATCATGCTGTCACCACTGGCTGCAGCTTGAGTTTGATCCCCAGCCAGGAAGCTAACCTACATAGCACAGCAGACTCTCCTATCTGGCACGCTGCTTCCCTCAGCAGCGTGTATTTCAATAAATCTGCCTGTTCTGCTCCCCACTCTGTCTCTGGTGAATCCTCTCACCCCTCCAGACTGCACCTCTGCACCCCTGTTCTTCCATGCAAAAACAAATAAATAAAAAAAACTATAGTGATGCCAACATTCCCATTACTGATATTCATAATTTGTGTTTTCTCTACTTTTCCTCATCAGTCTGACTAGAAATTTACCAATTTTATTGATCCTTTCAAAGAACAGTGCTGTTAAATAAATTAAATTTATTTCCTCTCCTGGTTTCATTATCTACTCAGTGATTTCCCATTTGATATTTATTATTTCTTCTTTTACTTTGTCATTTACTCTTTTTCTGGTTTCTTAAATTGCAATCTGAGATCAATATTTTGAAACCGTCTTTCCTAATACAAATATTTATTTCTATGAATTTATACCCTAAGAACTGATTTAGTGACATCCTACAAATTCTAATATATTATTTTTTTCATTTTTATTCAATTCTAAATAATATATGATTTTTATTTTTTATTTCTTACTTGACCCATGTATTATCTAAAGAGCATGTTAGCTTCTAAATATTTGAGGGGGGCCTCCCTGTTGGCACAAGGGATTAACCATCGCACTATGAAGCAATCCGCAGCCTCTGCAGCATGAGTTTGATCCCGGCCGGCCAGGGAAAAACCCACATGGCGAGGTAGACCTCTCTCCTATCTCACCCGCTGCTCCCCTCCACAGTGTATTTCAGCCAGTCTGCCTGTTCTGTTGCGCACTCTGTCTCTGGTGGATCCTCTCACCCCCTGCCCCACATCTCTGGCCTGTATGGCAGCTCTTGTATGCATAAATAAATAAATCTTTAAAAAATAAATAAAGAAATATTTGCGATTTCTCTAGAGATATTTCTGGTACTGGTTTCTAGTTTAATTACATTGTGATCAAAGACTATATATTTTATGACTTCAATCCTTCTAAATTTGAGATTTATGTCTCAGAAGATAGTCTATCTTAGTAAATGTTCTGTGTGTACTTGAAAAGAATGTGTATTCAGCTATAGTGTCAAGTG